TATCCATCCATCCATCCATCCATCCATCCATCCATCCATCCATCCCATCCCATCCCATCCATCTATACTTAACTGTTTGCTGCTACAGTGGGCGCGGGTAGTGCAGGCTGCGTATTGGCTGCTCGCCTCTCTGACGTCAGCAGCAACAAGGTGCTTCTACTGGAGGCAGGAGGCGACCCGTCTGCAAAGAGGAACGCTGCAATACCTGCCATGCATATGCTGCTGAGAAACACGAAACATGACTGGAACTTCAGGACTGTGCCACAGAAGAAATCATGCCGAGGTCTTAATGAGAAGGTGCGTAGAAAATGTACAAACGTCCAGTCAGCTATTTGGATGCGCGTACGTGTGATCCACGACTTATCGATTTATGATTGGCTGTCAATCAAGGATTGGGCACTGGGTAAAAGTACTAAGTATGAAGTGAAGGGTAATTGGGTGGAAAAGTAACTATACTCATGGTTTGATATATTACAGAGAAGCCTGTGGCCAAGAGGACGAATGCTTGGAGGGTCAGGTGGTCTAAACGCTATGCAATATGTACGAGGCAACAAGGGAGACTTTGATCTGTGGGAAAAGATGGGCGCACAAGGATGGAGTTATAAAGACGTTTTGCCGTACTTCAAAAAATCCGAAGACAACCAGAATGAGGAATATGTGAAGAGTGGTAAGTCGCGAAAACCGACAATAGACGTCTGTAGAAATGTTGCATTTGAATCCTATTTTGATCTAGTTATGATTTATTTTGTGGATACTTCCACAGACTACATACTGTTTAGCTTCTTTGATTGAATTGACCTTTATATATTATGTTCATGAACACATGATTATAGCACTCTTCATGAAAAACCTTTTGAGCCATTTGCCCTTCGGGCAAGTATTCTGTAAAATGTACATGTCCGAGTGACATTCTAGTTGCCTATATATTTTTCAGGATTTTTCTCAATATATATATATATATATATATATGTAATATCACAATTACAAATCATGCATTAATTTACCTGATATAACCAAATGAGTAAAATATTGTGTTTCGTATCCAATGGAATATCAAGTAAAGAAGTGTACACCAGACAACTTTTAGACACCATTCGTTTCCATTGTTAACATTTCATGATGATAAATTAAAAACCTTTAGTGAATGGGCAGTTGTATTATAGTGTATGTGTTTTTAAAGCAGGAACCCGTTGGGCAAGTGAGCTTGCAATGTTTACATGCCTGCCGAGATTTCTACACATCTCTAACGTCGGACGCCCGGCTAAATTCGAAGACTGTTATAGTTAATTGTTATCTATACTTGCAATACAGATTACCATGGGTCAGGTGGACCATGGACTATCTCTGATGCTTCATACACAAAACTGATGGATGTTTTTCTAAATGCTGCGCAGGAACTTGGTTATAAACTTGGTGATGTTAATGGAGAGAATCAAAAGGGTAACTATGAACTATATAGAGGGTAACTATGAATTATATAGAGGATAACTATGAACTATATATAGGGTAACCATGAACTATATGAAGGGCAACTATGGACTATAATTATAGTGACTGATTTAATGCTAAAAAAATTACCATTCTTGTTGGTGAAACTTAACGTAGTGATCAAGTAATTAACTAACTCCCCTTTATTAGGGTGATGTATCGTTTAACTACACTGGTTCTCCGATTTTGGGCAGTTTTTATGAAATCACAAGCAAACACAAAAGATGGTAAACGATGGAGCACAGCTGAGGCATATCTGAGACCAGCCATGCACAGATCAAACCTAGACATAGCTATCAATACTCACGTAACCAAGGTAACAGACTGATAATAAATACAGTTAGCTAACAACTTGGAAATAGAGTCTGAAATATGAGTATGTTTGTGATATTAATGTTACCTGGTTTTCAGATAAACTTTGATGGTAAGAAGGCGACAGGAGTCACCTTCATTCACGGTGCTGAGAAGAAGACTGTTCATGTGTCAAAGGAAGTGATTCTCTCTGCTGGTACCATTGGTTCTCCACACATTCTCATGCTGTCTGGTGTTGGGCCAAAGGATCACCTTACCAAGTTTAACGTATGCTCATATTTGTTACTTTGTACTAACTTTGTCATGCCTTGTATATCATATATGCCTCCATATCTACTAAACGTGTGTGTGTGTGTGTGTGCGCGCGCGTGTGTGTGTGTGTGTGCGTGCGTGCGTGCGTGCGTGCGTGCGTGCGAGCGTGAGTGCGTGCGCGTGTGTGCGTCATAACGAATGGTAAATCTACTGAATAATGAGTACTTAATTAGCCTTCAATAAGTAAAGATTGATAATTTGATTCTCACACAATTTCTCTCAAACGAATTCTTCCCACACTTTTGGTAAGCATTGTGTGTGTGTGTGTGTGTGTGTGCGTGCATGTGTGCGTGCGTGCATGCGTGCGTGTGTGTGTGTGTGTGTGCGTGCGTGTGTGAGTGCGAGTGTGTGCGTCATAACGAATGGTAAATTTACTGAATAATGAGTACTTAGCCTTCAATAAGTAAAGATTGATAATTTGTTTCTCACACAATTTCTCTCAAACGAATCTTTCCACACTTTTGGTAAGCATTGTTGTGTGTGTGCTGCCGTGCGTGCGTGCGTGGCGTGCGTGCGGTGCGTGCGTTCGGCGTGCGTGCGTGCCGTGCGCGCGTGTGTGTGTCATAACGAATGGTAAATCTACTGAATAATGAGTACCTAGCCTTCAATAAGTAAAGATTGATAACTTGATTATCATACAATTTCTCTCAAACGAATTCTTCCCAAACTTTTGGTAAGCATTGTTCAAATGCATAGCTGGCAATTTATTTAGTAAGTCCTAACATATTCCGGTTATATCATTTATGTTTCTACCGAATTTAAGATATCAACTGTCGCCGACTTACCGGTTGGTCAGCACCTTCAGGACCATCCTGGCCTCATGTACCCAGAGTTCTGGATAGAGAAACCAATAACAATCACCGCCGATCTAATTAATAGTTGGAAGACCAGCATACAGTATGATCTATTTCGAAAAGGTTAGTAAAACTATATAACTCTTTTATCTGGAATTTGCTCCTACGTTATTATTTATCCACAATTCCATAAAATCTCTCAAGCTTTCTTTAAGTGCATTTTCAACCATGTGCTGGCAATGTTCTTGTTGCGTGTTGTTTAAGGTAGCATATATATGTTGATTTATACACAGAGTAATTCCTGTTATAAAATATTATCGTATGTTGCAGGCCCTCTCGCATATCCTCTAATTGATGGAGTAGGTATTGTCAAGACCAAAGCAGCTGATCCTAAACTTGATCTGCCTGATATTGGAATACATCACTGTCCTTGGGGACTGGGCATGGAAAATGATGAAGCAATATACAATGTTATTGGCTTCAGCAAGAATGTAAGTTTTTTTTACCTCATAGCCTCATCACCTCATTACCTCATCTTTATACATGCTGAGTGCATTTTAATATCTGAATAAATCTACAAAGGCAATCAGAGTGGAATATATTTGCATAATTACAGGATCAAAATTAACTGATTAAAAATTGAAGTGTACTTATACTTCAGCTGAATCAAGCAAATAGCTTTGAAGTTTAAAGTATGCGGTTATATTTTGACTGTCCATCGCCAATAATGAAACAATGAATAAACAAATTTGGGTTATATTTATGTCCGTTTGACTTTTCAGTTTTTGGAAGCCTACAACTTTTCCGAGCACAAGACTCGTCCAGTCATGACATGGAATGCACATGTTCTTCACCCAAAGAGTGTTGGAGAGATACGGCTGCAATCATCAGACGCACTCGATCCGCCTGAAATTGACGCAAACTACCTTGATGATGACTCTGATGTCAAGTCGCTAGTAGAGAGTAAGGTTGACATTTTTCTCGATAGGTTATGGAAGACACGTGATATAATGTCGTTCAAAAACTTACTGCGAGAATCGTGTGGTATTTGAAACTGTGTGAGAGCTGTAATATGTCGCCTGTTTTGTCCATTAATTAAAGCTTTATGAATCAGAGCAGCCAACAGGTGGCGACACTGCTGTCCACGATCATAACATGACAGTGGCTTTTGTGGTTTACCTTATATTTACCTCCGCCAGGGGCTTGGCGGGGGTTATGTTTTCACCGGCGTGTGTTTGAGTGTTGGTTTGTGGGTTTGTGAACATGCACGTTTCAGTTCACTTCCGCTAGGTGCGCTGGCTGTAGACTTACAAACACGCAACCACAGGCTAAGGGGCAACCACAGTCCTCCCCCACCTGCACGCTCGCACTCAGCGAATATATATCTATCAATCTATAGGTTTGTTTGTGTACAGCCTAACTGAAAAAGTTATGGACGGATTGTCATAAAATTTTCAGGATAGGTCAGAAATGGGCTAACTTGGAATTGATGAGATTTTGGTGGTGATCCGGATCCAATTAATAAATAACATTTTCAGGATAGGTCAGAAATGGGCTAACTTGGAATTGATGAGATTTTGGTGGTGATCCGGACCCAATTAATTAATTAATTAATTAATAACATTTTCAGGATTGGTCAGAAATGGGGTAACTTAGAATTGATTACATTTTGGTGGTGATTCGGATCCAATTCATTAATTAATTAATTAAATTTTCAGGATACGTCAGAAATCGGGTAACTTACAATTGATTACATTTTGGTGGTCATCCGGATCCAATTAATTAATTAATAAAATTTTTCACAGTGACAGAATTCAGCTGCCTTGGTGGAGGTCTGTGCTCTCCGAGTGCTCTAGTTTCATATAGGTTTGAAATAGTTTTCACGATTACTTCTCTAGGCATAAAGATCAGTCTGCAGTTTGCTGAGACTAAAGCATTCAAAGCTGTCGGCGCTAGACTGCGAGATCAGATCGTTCCAGGCTGTGAGGAGCATGAATACAAGTCTGACAGCTACTGGGACTGTGCAGTAAGAACAATAACAGCCACTAAATACCACCCGACAGGAACATGTAAGATGGGAGCAGCTAATGATCAAACTGCAGTTGTTGATCCACAACTCAGGTACGTGAATATATACATATGTGTGTGTATGTTATGTGTGCAAGTGCGTGTGCAATTGTATATAGCTGTTCATTTTTGGGTGAACGTTCGAAAAAAATATGCATGTTCTGTGATTCACTGTTTATTGTTAATTTCATTGTTCATTAGTTTCTTCAGTATAGGTCACTGCATTCTATTTGTGTAGATAATTATTGTTTGTATAAGTGAAATAGGCAGTCTTATAGGTCTGTCACGAATCTTTTTCGTGAAATATGTGCCGTACTTTGGTTGTATCAAAATGCAATATATTGCTTTATATATTATATATATATATATATTTATATATAGAAGTAAAACGTATATATATATATATTGATTTTGTGCCTAGCTGTTGGTGGTTGAAATGTTCTTTTTTAACATTCCATTACTGCATTGTAATGTATAAACTTTGAGATTTTTAGCTCAGCTGATGAAGTCAGATGCAGCTTGTAGAATCGCATGAATGTATGCGTGCGTGCGTCCGTCCGTCTGTCAACAGTTATGGCACAAATCTTTACTGCTCGACGTACGGTCTTGATATTCGGGACGTTGGGGGGATCGCGAAAAGGAATCGGCATGGCGAATTTGGGGTCAAGGGTCAAAGGTCAAGAGGTGTCAATGGAGGGGAAACGTTTCCCCCTTATTTTAAGGTATAGGAGGAAATACGGAATTGCGGCACAAATCCCAATGGCTCGACCTACGCTCTTAATATACGATGTATAGTGCGATGGGGAGGAAACCCATCACCAGCGCGAAATTAGAGGTCACAGGTCAAAGGGCAGTAGGGAAAAGGTCAGATATCAGACATTTTCTGAGGACATGGTCTAACGGACCGAGTGCAAAACCTTTTTGTTTCAGCGCTGACCTACCATTTTTATCACTTTATTGAAAGGACCATGAAATGTACTTTCCGCTGACGTGCGAAGAGTAATCTTTATTACTGTAATACCGGTATAGCAAACCCTATCATAGATTTTAGATCTGTATTAGTAGTATATCCTAGATATATGCTCTGAGCGCGAACGAGGTGACGGGAGGGCGCACTTGATTCGGTTGCCAGTGAGTTTATCAGAAGAATACCCGGCTACAGTACACGTCAGTTGAGCGCTGTCGCTCTGCGGCACTTACGCTATATTGCAAACCCATGTTTGCTATTAACTCTTGCGTTTTTTCAGGGTTCGTGGAGTCCGTGGTCTGAGAGTGGCTGATGCTTCTATAATGCCGGAGATTGTATCAGCTAACACCCAGGCCACTACAGTCATGGTTGCAGAGAAGGCAGCTGACATGATCATATCAGGAGCATGATCAACACAACGTTTGTTTACATGTTACATAGTGAGGTTGTTGGACAGAATAAATAGTATTACTTCCATAAAAGGAGTACATGAATATCGACTGCCACAAAGATGACATCACAGTGGTTTGCTGATATACGGATATATATATACATCAGGGATTTTCCAAATTTTTTACGCATCCGTACGTGCGTGCATGCTTGCGTGGGTTCGTGCGTGCTTGCGTATCTGCGTGCGTGCATTCCTGTGTGCGTGCCTGCTTGCATGTATGCGCCTGCGCGTGGGTGCATGTAGGTTGGATGTATACAGCTTGGATTTATACACTGTACAGACTATGAATTTGATATGGTATTAAACTAGCTCGCGCCAGGCCCGCGCCAAATTTTTGCAGTGTGTACACGCTATCCCGCTCCAAATACCGCTTGCCCGCACCAATTTGGCCCCGCAAATGAAGGAGTGCCAGGCCTGGGATAACTTAGTCCGGGATAAGATAGCCCGCTTGTGTGTGTGTGTGTGTGTATGCAACAATTTAAGCAGGCCAGACCCGGTGCTAAATCGCAATACGCATGCACATAGCCTTATTTAGGTTACGTAATGTACGCTTGCTGTACCTCACTGTCTGCGGGGTGACGTGGCGAGCATGAACGGAGAACTGATGACTCACTTAATGTAGGATCAAATATGCAGTCTGTACGCTATGATTTGGCACGTGTCAGTTCCGGGCCTGGCACGCGCTAGTTTAATTATTAATACCATATCAAATTTTGCAGTCTGTACGTGGTATATTGGTAAAGGTATGGTATATCACTTTGCATGCCATAAAAAGGCAAGCCAGTCTGGAGTTTTAGGTACTATTATTAGCTTTAGATTATGGTGATGTATGTATTTGATGACTGCCAAAGAACCCTGGTGTGTGTAAAGTGTATAATTGCTACGTGGGAATTAGGCTGATCGACCTCTATATGCTAAACAACCTTAGTGCGTTAGGGAATTCCGGTACAGAAGTCTTGCAATGCTATGGTTACTACTAGGAGTATACTACTACATAATCCCCGGGACTATATTTAGCTAGGTGTTCTAGAGCAGCTCAAGCATTCTAGTGTAGAGATTTCACGGGGGGGGGGGTGCGCTGACGTCCTACAACAACATGACTTCAATAGCCACGGGTGAGCTACACTATAACTACAACAGAGATAGAAAGTTCACAAGCAACAGGTGGAAAGTTTTCCCCAGCAACAGGTGGAAAGTTTTCTTCAGCAACAGGTGGAAAGTTTTCCCCAGCAACAGGTGGAAAGTTTTCCCCAGCAACAGGTAGAAAGTTCCCCAGCAACAGAGACAAGCGCAGGAGGGGGGGGACGGCTACCAGATGGGGGAGGTAGAGGAGTTGCGACGCCCGTGCACGTGCCGGACGGTGGGGGGGTGCGACTCCCGTGCACGTACCGGACGGGGGGGGGGGTTGTGCGACGCCCGTGCACGTGCACCCAGAGAGCACGTCGAGCAACACACACACACCGACGGAGCGGAGCAGTCGTCGCGGAGAGCCACCCACGAGCCCGGGTCAGCAGCAGCAGGAACCGGTGAGATGCCGAGAAGGTATACCTAATAATAAGGGGTCTTAGGCTATAGTATTACGCGAACGAGGAGCCACGCTTCTATCAACTCGAGCCGACTGCCGCGGCCAACCCGACGAGGAGCAACGCCGAGGGCTACAATTAAGACAGTAGAATAGAAAATAGCTAAGTTGAACATGTATAGTTAAAATAAGCCATGTAAACGTCACATGAGTATATATATGCTATATCTGCGATACCCAACAGTCAATGTTATCCGTATAACCGGAATAAAGTTATCCATTGTATGAAGACACTATAAGGACTAAGCGAAAAATGATCTCAAAACAAATAAATTACACGTACTAACCATAGCACGTGTGAAAATCCAGTTGCGGCCACCCCTAGGGCCACTACATTAGTATATGCGGGTCGATCGCTACACAGGCTAAACACGGTTTGATCTCTTCTTGGGCAAATGTTACTATTTTTCGGAACACTGGTATAGAACAGGTCAGAATTTTCCAGCCAGTGTTTGAATAACAGGACGTATTTTAACCTTTTTATTTTGAATGACGTAGGTGTTGTCATAGGAAAGTTACAAGCTGCTGCAGCTGTAGTATAATCAACGATGTAGACTAACATCATAGCCGTGACGGTGGCTGTGGTTGGAGTTTTATACTGGAGATCACAGCGCGTGGAACAGTTTATCATACAGGAGAATTCCGATGAAGACTACGATTACGTCATAGGTATGTAAAAGATATTATTAGAACTTGTTACGGATGGTCGTTAGCAGATCTATCACAGCTTTGAACGTAAAGGTTTGGACGTCTTTCTGTTTGCGTATCTATCCATGCATGCATGCATCCATCCATGCATCCATCCATGCATCCATCCCATTCATTCGTCCATCCATCCATCCATCCATCTATCCATCCATCCATCCATCCACCCGTCCATCCCATCCATCCATCCATCCACCCATCTATCCATCCATCCATCCATCCATCCGTCCATCCCATCTATACTTAACTGTTTGCTGCCGCAGTGGGAGCGGGTAGTGCAGGCTGCGTATTGGCTGGTCGCCTCTCTTACCGCAGCAGCAACAAAGGGGTTCTTCTTGGGGG